GGAAGGAGGCTGTTCTGGACAGTGCGCTGGCGCTACAAGTCCCCCTTCCGCCTGTAAACCAGCCTCTTCGCTATGGGGGGGGGCAGGGGATGGGAAGAATCGAGGAGTTCGCCCCTCAAGATGGCGAGAGGCCCACTTCCGCGGGTCCACCCACCCATGCGCACAGAGCGGCTGGGTTGGTTCCTAGGCCTGCGCGGGCGCCCAGCCTCTCTGCAAGCGACGGGGTGGTTCTTCTCAGGGCGTCCTAATGGCGCCAGTGCGTCATCAGGCGGTCGAGCGCGGCACGGGACACGACGGCTCACGATGCCCTTCTCCTCACAAACCCATCGTATGCGCGGACAGTCCGAGATGGAGGTGCCCTGAGCTATGCGGCGCTGGCGTGTGTCGCGCGCGCCTCTGTCTTCAGCGTGGATGTAGCGGAGTGGATGTCTCCTGTAGCTGCACCTGGCCCAGTGGCCACCATCTTCTGCCCCTGGTGTGATGCAGGGGCTTCTGCATGTCATCCAGCGAATAGCCGTAGCAGAGGCGCGTGGGGAGGGCGCGCCGGCAAGTGCAATTGCCTAGCCTGACCACTGCCGCCTCCGGTCGGGCCTTTGCGCCGTCTCTCTCACCCTGGTCGGCCCCGGGGTCGGTCTGCGGAGCCGCGGCGGCCCTCGAGTTGGTTCGAGCTGCGCCCGTCCGAGGCGACGAGGGGGCGTCCTGGTCCTCCTTGGTGCTCCTCTGGTTCCCGCAGCGGCCCTCGTCGTTGTAGGTCTGCTGGTGTCCCTAGGAACGCTTCTGGTACCCGCAGGCGCACCTCGGGTCCTCCTTGGAGGACTTCGGGTCCTCGCGGGAGGTCTGCCGGTCCTCGTGGAAGCGCAGCTGGTTCCCGTTGTAGCGCTGCTGGTCCCAGTAGGAACGATGCTGGTCCTGGTAGGAGCGCCGCTGGTCCTCGCAGGAGCGCTTCTGGTTCCAGTCGTAGCGCTGCTGGTCCCCGCAAGAGCGCTGCTGGTCCTCGCGGGGGCGCCGCTGGTCCTCGTAGGAGCGTAGCTGGTTCCCGTCGTAGCGCTGCTGGTCCTCGTGGGAGCGTTGCTGGTCCTCGCGGGGGTGCTGCTGGTCCGAGTTGGGCGCATCTGGTCCCCGTTGTCCTGGCAGCCGTAGCGGCCGTGGCAAGCGTTGTTCTGGTAGCCGTGCTCATCGTGCTCATCGTAATCCTGGCAAGCGTAAACCAAATACGCCGACCCTGTCGGCGTGTGTGAGGGGCTTCTCCGTTCGACTCGTCGTCTCCGTTCTCCCCCTCCCAGGGCTCTCCTCTTCAAGCGCGCTGTCCAAAGCGAAATTAAACGACGTCGTAGTGGAGTCGAAGGGAAGCCCCTTCCCTTTGATCCCTTCCCCGCAGGGGGGGGGGGGGGGGCGGGGGGCAGATAACGACGCCCGCCGGGGCGCATTACAGGTTAGATTTCCTCGAGCGGCACGCACGGGATGCGCTTCCTCCTCCTTCTGCTCCTGGTCCCTCACCGCCTCCTCCTTTTTTCCTCCTCCTCTTCCTCCTCCTGGTCCTGCTCCTCCTGCTCCTCCTCCTGCTCCTCTCCTCCTTCTCCTCCTCCTCTCTCTCCTCCTCCTCCTCCTCCTCCCGCAGAGGCCTCCCGCAGAGGCGTCCCGGGAGCGGGCCCCGAGTCAAAATACAAGCCCCCTAGGGCGCATTTTCCTCGAGCGGGCACGCCCGGGATGCACTTCTTCCTCTTCCGGGAGCACGTCCCAAGTCAGAATATCATACTCCCGGGGCGCACTTTCTTCCAGCGGGCACACAAAGGATGCACTTACTCCTCCTCCTCCTCCTCCTCCTCCTCCTCCTCCTCCTCCTCCTCTTCCTCCTCCTCCTCCTCCTCCTCCTCCTCCTCCTGCTCCTCCTCCTTCTCCTCCTCCTCCTCCTCCTCATCCTCCGCTTCCTCCCCCCACTCCTAGCCCTTTCGATCAGGGTCGGCGGCACCGGCCGTCAGGCCTCTCCAATAGCCGTGATTTTTGCCACGTTCGTCGCACTCGCTCCCAAGGGTGGGCTGGACTATGTTCGTGATGAAGTTCGGCGTGAATTCTGGCGCCTGTGCTCAACTTGCTGGTCTCCTGCTTGTACATTGCGGCGGTTGGGGGGCTGGCGTTGTGGGGCTGGCGTTGGCAAATGTTGCGGGCGATGGCGATGATCGCGTCGATGGCCGCTGGAAGGTGTCCGTGTCTGGCGGCATACGCAAGCCAGAAAATGGCAGCGTTTTCATGCCGTCGATCACGCTGATGGGGGACCACTAGTTGCTTGGTGCATGTTGGCGAATCTCTCAGACGTCATGGCCCAAGACCTGCTCCAAGGCAGAAGTTGCTCGCAGGGCCACTAAGGCCAATCAAGACGATCTGTGTAAACGTTGGAATGACCTCGTCCAAACACTGCAACTCCGACTCCTCCTATCCTCCTCCTCCGGCCTACTGAACGTTGGAAATAACGTCGTCCAGGGACTCCAGCTCCAACTCCTCC